CCAGACTCACAGCTGTGTGCCTCCTTTTGCCCCACCCTGTGCGAGTGACACGGGCTGCTATGGATTGTTCTAGCTCTAAAACCCCAGAGGTGCTCATCTGGTGTTAGGAGGGCAGGCGGGGGTGGGGGTGGGGGTGGGGGGGGGGCTTTGGTAGGTAGTCACAGGGCTGAATAAATCGCACCAAAGACACCCTGATTTTATTGACACTGTAAACCCAGAAACAAAAAGGCCTTTGAGAGGGCGAGGCAGCAGCATTTACTTGAGATTTAAAAATAAGGAGTAGCTGTTTGGGGGAACATTGACTCAGGCAGAAGGCCACACAGTGCTCCATTCGGAGACAGAGACAATGGGCATGTGTGAGGAGCGACTGGGATGATGACATCAGTGGAAGGACGCGTTCCAGTTGTGCAGATCACGTAACAGTGATGCTAATTCTAAACAGTGTTTTCATTCGCAGCCCAGAATCATAATAACTGCTTTCTTGTCATCTCTGCAAACAGTTCTTAGGAAAACAGGCTGCGTAGGCCCAGCCCAAAGGCCTGTTTTTCCGTTGTGACCTTCCACAGGTGTGAGGCACAGATGCGCAGGCAGTTCCTCTGGCGTCGCCTCCTACACAGGCGTCAGTGGGGGGCTGGCCACGCTCCCAGCCTTTCCTTCTGAAAGACTCGCAGGAACAGGCTCTCAGCACGAGCCGGCGTCCATGGAGGGACGAGTCCCCAGCCCCCTCCCCATGCCCGGCCCTGGCAGAATCTGCACCTGCTCTGGGGTGCAGTGCAGCATCTGAATTTTTTTACCTCATTTTTCATTCAATTGCAAGTTTTGTCCTACTTGATATTTGTTTTCATATGGAAAATAGCTGGGAGTGGAAATATCCTCAACCCCAGAGAAGGGGACACAGGTGCGTTTGCAACCTGCTCTGCCACAGGAGGTGCCTGTTGGGGTCCCTTTTTCAGAGAAGCAGCAACCTCCAGGCAATGTCCTCAAGCAACGCAGCAAGGATCTACTTGTATTTAAGTGACACTACAGCCTGGCCAGCGTGGCTCAGCGGTTGAGCATCGACCTATGAACCAGGAGGTCACGGTTTGATTCCCGGTCAGGGCACATGCCTGGGTTGCGTACTCGATCTCCAGTGTGGGGCGCGCAGGAGGCAGTTGATCAATGATTTTCTTTCATCCCTGATGTTTCTCTCTCCCTCTCCCTTCCTCTCTGAAATCAATAAAAATAGATTTAATAAGTAAGTAAATAAATAGCACTTACATGGCACTCAAGACGTGCAGGTGCTTTATATAAGTGTCTCTTCCTGCAGAAAACAAAATAGAGCCGATGAAAGATGCTGTGCCAGTTGGAGTGCCACCGCGGGGATCATGGCGAGCAGCGCGTGGCCGGTGCCTCTGCTGTGGCTGCAGGACACTGATCTGTGATGGGAACGGTTGTGACTTGGGGAGGATTAGACACACACCGCCGGCGTGTTGGGATTCTGGATGACTCCTGGGAGTGGGCCAGTGGGAGCCGAGAGGAGCCTCAGGCCCAGCTCAGAGGCCAGGTCATGCCACCCAGGGGCCACGGGCCAGGGGAAGCACAAGGGCTGAGAGGGAGTCCTGACCGGGTGGCTGAGTTGGTTGGAGCATCATCCTACACACCAAGAGGTTGTGGGTTCGATTCCGGGTCAGGGCACATACCTAGGTTGTGGGTTTGATCCCGGGTTGGGATGTGTATGGGAGGCAATGGGTCGATGTTTCTCTCTCACATTGATAATTCTCTCTATCTCTTTCTCTATCTCTTTGCCTTTCTCTTTCTCTAAAATCAATAAATATATCCTTGGGTGAATATTAAAAAGAAAAATGGCTGGCCCTGGCTGTTTTGGCTCAGTGGATAGAGCATTGGCCTGTGGACTTAAGAGTCTCGGGTTCGATTCCGGTCAGGGGCACATGCCCGGGTTGCGGGTTTGATCCCCAGTAGGAGGTGTGCAGGAGGTGGCCGATCAATGATTCTCTCTCATCATTGATGTTTCTATCTCTCTATCCCTCCTTTCCTATCTGAAATCAATAAAAATATATTTTAAAAAGAAAGAAAGAAAGAAAAAGGGCTGAGTGGGAGTTGAACTCCTTATGGGAAAACCCAGTTTCAACCTTAGACCAGCAGAACCAAAGTACTACTAATATGGGAGCATTATTTCAGAACCTCTCTTTCAGAAATTCTATGAGCCAAAATAGCATTCTAACATGTTTTTATACGTTTCTGACACTAAATGTAGGGCCTAGTATCCTATATAATAAAAGGGTAATATGCAAGTTGACCCTAATGGTTGGACGACCAGGAACAACCAGTCACTATGACGTGCACTGACCACCAGGGGGCAGACGCTCAACGCAGGAGCTGCCCCCTGGTGGTCAGTGTGCTCACACAGGGTGAGCGCCTCTCACCCAGAAGCCGGGCTCACGGCTGGTGAATGCAGTTGTGGTGGTGGGAGCCTAAGGAGCAGTGAGCCGAGTGGTAAGGAGCAGCAAGCAGGTGGATGATAAGGAGCAAGGGGTCCTGGGACCCCCGAGGGCTCCCGGACTGTGAGAGGGCGCAGGCCGGGCTGAGGGACCCCTCGTCGTCGTCCCCCCCCACTGCATGCATTTTGTACACCAGGCCTCTAGTCTAGGAATAGAGCAGTATATTCAAATAAAAGAGAACTAATATATATGCAGTATCATACTCTGTAAATTTCAAGTAATTAATTTTATCTTGAGCGGTTTCAGTGAGTGAGCCACTTCCTCTTTTCTCCTGGGTCTGAGCAGTATCGATGTAGGGCCGCTCCTCCGAGTTTACTCTTCCATGTGGGCTCTGTGACAATGGCCTTGGTTCCTGTGAGCATTTTCCCTGCTCGGTGTGCCTGCTAAGCTTTCTCAGTAGGGGATGCTAGAGGGGCATTGCAGGAGGAGGCTGGCTTCCGCTGTGGCCTCTGGCTGCTGTCAGGCTGGTGGTGGTTGGTGTGTGTGTGGGGAGGATGAGGGGAGGATTGCAGTGAGGGTGTGAGGACATCCAGGACGTGCTGGAAATGTGCAGTCCCTCGACCACCTGGCCCGGCCGTGACCGCCATAACCCAGCGCCCTCCACACAGTTCATGAGCTGTAGGCCTCCTGTCCACACTGGAGCCCCCACTCCCTCTGCCCACCCTCCCCTTTGGACTTTTGTGTCCTGTGGCCCTTCTGACGCTGTGGTCCTCCCGACACTGACACCAGAGCCCTCACTCCCTCTGTATGTCCGGCTGTGGCCTGTGTGCCTTGGACAGCTGCCTCCCGATGGCCCAGGGGCTGCATACCAGCTCTGGCTCCGGAGAACCAGTGCTTCTGACACCAGTGGCTGCAACAGCATCTTTCCAGTGCGAACTGAGCCCCTCCGGGGGGCGGGGAGCCTCCTTGGATATTCTGTCAGCCCTACTGTGTTCTCTAACCAGACTCACTGGTCCCTCCACCCCGATGCCAGACCAGCCTGCCCTCTAGCTCGATGGATTTTCTTCTGACCCCTCGTTAGTGCTGACCATACACACTCCTCCCTGGGTTACTGGATTTAGCAAGTAAAAATACAGCGCACCCTGTCCTCTTGAAATTATATAAACAAAAGTTTTTAGTACAAGTGTGTCCCAAATATTGCATGGGCTATGTTTACACTAAAAGGTTACTTGTCGAAATTCAGGTTTAACTTCCCCTCCCACAGCTGTTCCTCAGCCCAGCCTCTAGAGCAGCGGTTCTCAACCTGTGGCTCTTGATCCCTTTGGGGGTCGAATGACCCTTTCACAGGGGTCGCCTAAGACCATCGGAAAACACATATATAATTACATATTGTTTTTGTGATTAATCACTATGCTTTAATTATGTTCAATTTGTAACAATGAAAATACATCCTGCATGTCAGATATTTACATTACGATTCATAACAGTAGCAAAATTATAGTTATGAAGTAGCAACGAAAATAATTTTATGGTTGGGGGTCACCACAACCTGAGGAACTGTATTAAAGGGTCGCGGCATTAGGAAGGTTGAAAACCACTGCTCTAGGGAGAAGAGGGAATGTATCAGCCACCCTCTCTAACCAGCAGGGGGCAGCACTAGCCTTTAAGGCAGTGAGTGTGGGTTTTTCCTCTCTGCTTCTCTCTATGTAAATGGTGGATGATAAGACACAGGCTTAAGTTACCCTTTAGCCCTCTTTATCTGAGGGATCCCCATTACTTTGACAAACATTTCCCCCCTCCCCAAACACAAAGTTGATTAAGGCATCTCCACAGACTCTTATGATCCAGTATTGCCTCATTACTCTTACTCTATTTGGTGTAAGTGGATGGACTTCTCTATCCTGATATTATTTAAACATTTAGTGGCCTGAACATTTTGTAGGGATTGAGAACTGGTGGCCCACAAACTGAATTTGACACTTGGCCTTGGAAACTATACCCATGAGCGCAGACCCCGCGGGTTAGCATGTGAGCCAACGAGCAAGCTCTCATGTCTGATCTTTCTGCACCCTGGAGAAGGCTCCGTGCCCCACTCGCCTTCTAACCGCCCATCTTCCTGCAGCAGGTGGTCCACCCTGTGCATGCAGCTGAGGTGACAGCCCTCTGCGTCTCCCACAGTTTCAGGCAGATGCCTCTTGAAGACTCAGGGACACACTTGTGGGCGAGGGACTTCTGACCTCTGCAGGATGCTCCACGGCGACCAGATACTGCCCCAGTCCATCCCACTAACCACGGGTTTGGCCTACACCCATTGGCTCCTGGCCATGTTACCGCTCCCACTTCCTTTGACCTTGGGGTGCCCTTGGACATGTGACTTCCCATGTTGCACTGGTCCGTCTGTGCACTGGCCCATCCTCCCACCCTCCTCTGCATGGAGCATGGTGCCAGGTGCCTGCTCTGGCCCCACCTCCTCCCAAGGGATCTGCCCTGGTGCCAGGGCAGTGACGTTTCAGAACAACCTCGCTTTGCTGTAGAGCTGACGGTGGCCACCGTGAAGGGGGAGACTCTGATTTCTCCTGATGTCCTTTGTGCCTTTTCCTGGGACACTTGGTGACGGTGGTGTGGACATCTTCCAGGACATAACATGGAGCTCTTCTCCTTGTCAACTTTCTGACCACAGGTGAAGGCGACACTAGATTCAAGGGGATTGTGGGGCGAATGAAGGGCAACGCGGAGCCACCTTCCTTGTGAGCATTGCTCTCAGTGCTCACAACACCCAAGGCAACTTTATTCGGGCCTCTGCACACGGATGAACATTCCTCCCATCGGCCTGCTGGCGGCTGAGGCCTGCCTGCGGGTTTGCAGGGGCGACAGGACCCTCCTGCCTCCCCGGCGTCAGCCTGCAGCTGGGTTGGCGACCTTTCCCAGGAGGAGTAAGCTCTGGGTGGTCACCTCCCAGACAAGCACCAGGAAAGGCCTGTTGAAATGGGCGTGGGGGGCCCACGTCACGTTCAGAGGCCGGGGTTGGGAGAGGAGGCCGGAGGCAGCCCCAGCCTTGGTTCCCCGCTCACTCATGTCCATGGCTGCCTTGTGCGACACCTAGAAGGAGAAGAGAGGGCAGGGACAGCTCAGGACACTCCAAGGGCAGAGTCTGCCCTGTGGAGCACCAGGAGAGGCAGGCAGAGCGTCCAGGTCTCCCAGGCCCCGCCTTCCAAGACAGCACCTCCAGCTTCGTGTTATTTTCCTCCTCTCCCCATCTTCCCCCTGCCATGTTCTGGGGGCTCACCCTGAAGGTGGGGAGACCAGCGAGCCTGAGCCAGGCCGCAGAAACCCAACAGTGCCCTCCAGAACGTTCTCAGCCCCTGGGAGCATGTGGCACAGGCCCAGGTATCATTTTCCACCCCCAGCTGCACTTCCTCTCGCTAAGCCTCAGTTTTCTCATCTCTATAACGGCCTGCTCAAGCCTCAGTCAGCGGTTCAAATGCGCTCCGTGGGACCGGCTGTCTCTGCTCTCCTCAGCTCTGTCTTAGGAGGAAGTGTAGGAGACAGAGCAAAGTTGTCCCACACCTGGATGTCACCGAATGTGTGGCATCTCTATTACGGACTCTGTCTCCTTGCTCTGAGGACTGGAGAGAGAGCTGGAAAGGGTGCTGCTGAGAAAGGGAGCCTCACAGGTTGTGACATTAAAGAACCGGCATAGGAAAGAGAAAGGAGAACTTGACTTTCAAATCTACACTTCATGTCAAGGGGGAGAAGACCCCCTCCCACCTGCCTGGCCCGGTGGCCTCCGTACCCGGAAGATGGTTCCATTCAGCCGCCCAGGGGCTCCCAGCAAGTCGGCTCCTAAGTTGAAAATGTTGCTGAGCCCGATGTGGGGAAGTATCTCTTCCAGGTTATATGCTCCAGAAATGGCAAACCTTGGCAAGTGCAAGTCCAGCACACTGCGGAGAGAACCAGACAGGGAGGCACCCCCTGGCCGTGGGCACCCGGAAGTGTTTCCCAGAGTGAGGGGAACCAGTCTTCCTGGGACACTGCCTGCTGTGCCAGAACATTCCACAGCCCCCAGCCCACAGCCCTTCTCCTCAGACATTGTAGAGCTCTGTGGCTTCTTCCCAGAGCCCTTCAGGCCTCTCCGTCTGATCTGAGAAGGGGCACAGCGAGGGGGGCTTTCTAGACGCCCGGCACTGGGCCAGGGTTTTTACAAAGCGTAACTGCTCAGATCCACATACTTCCCACCTAAGGCGACTGTTGTTAACATTCTCCTACGTCCACGTCTGCTCCTCAGCAAGTCCTGTCGGCCTAGCCTCTGAACTACTTCCTAAACCCATCTATTGGCAACCCCTATACAAGCCCTTCGTCTCTCACTGTCTGAGCGTCAGGGTCTGATGAGAGGCAGTGACCATCAAGCGTGGGCACCGATCGCCAGCGTGACTCTCCTGCTCCTGACATGCCTTGACCAGCATTTCCTGGGTTCAGTTTGCAGGTTCTTTGAACACAGAGCAAACCTGTCCTTTGCTTTTGGGGGTTCTTCTCAGTTACTCGACAGTTACTGGGGGCACCTGCAAGCTGGGCTGGTGAATAACCAGCTCAGAAACTTCTGCCTCTAATGAGTCCAGCTTGGAGAGCCGAATTCAGGTTAGGGAACCCTTACACTCGAACTCCTGGGGGCAGCGTGAGGGTCCAGGTGCCCATGTGAAGTGGGGGCAGTCAGAAGTTGGGGTTAAACTGTGAAAAGGAGGAAATGGAGGTGGAGAGCAGGGCAGGCCCCACCCTTGAGGGGGGTTTGCGTCGAGTCACCTCTGTACCCGGAAGATGGTTCCATTCAGCCGCCCAGGGACTCCCAACAAGTCAGCTCTTGAGTTGCAAATGTTGCCGAGCCCGATGTGGGGAAGTATCCCTTCCAGGTTATATGCTCCAGAAATGGCAAACCTTGGCAGGTGCAAGACCAGCAGGCTGCTGGACACACCCCAGGTGTCCACCCAATGTGAGTGAAGAAGGACGTTACCAGGAAGTGTGCTTTCCCCAGGCTAGCGAACCGTCCTCCCAGCTGAGTGGACGGAGGGAGACCAGACCGGAGGAGGGGGGCAGGTCTGAAGTTTTCATGCTGAAAGCCCATTAAAATGCTCTAAATTTTAACTCTGGCCTGAGAAACATCTGAGATTTAGGAAAGTCACTTGGGTTGATTTTGCTTCTTGAAGGTCCAAGTAAGAGGTCAAAACAGACCCATCCTGAAGGAAAACCTATTGGTCTAGAACAGTGGTTCTCAACCTTCCTAATGCCGCGACCCTTTAATAAAGTTCCTCATGTTGTGGTGACCCCCAACCATAAAATTATTTTCGTTGCTACTTCATAACTGTAATTTTGCTACTGTTATGAATCGTAAATATCTGACATGCAGGATGTATTTTCATTGTTACAAATGGAACATAATTAAAGCATAGTGATTAATCACAAAAACAATATGTAATTATATATGTGTTTTCTTTTTTTTTTGAATATGTTTTATTGATTTTCTACAGAGAGGAAGGGAGAGGGATAGAAAGTTAGAAACATCGATGAGAGAGAAACACCGATTAGCTGCCTCCTGCACACTCCCCACTGGGGATGTGCCCGCAACCAAGGTACATGCCCTTGACCGGAATCGAACCCGAGACCCTTGAGTCCGCAGGCCGACATTCTATCCACTGAGCCAAACCGGTTCTGGCATATGTGTTTTCTGATGGTCTTAGGTGACCCTGGTGAAAGGGTCGTTCGACCCCCAAAGGGGTCGTGACCCACAGGTTGAGAACCGCTGGTCTAGAAGATCCTATGAGACTTCCTCGTGAGAGGGGGAAGAGGCAAGCTCACCCCAAGGGAGCTGAGGTGATGGGGTTGGACTCAGAAACTGACAGGAGCTGTGTAGATTCACGGTCAACAAGGAAACGTCCTTAGACCTGGCCTCTGGCCTTGACCCGTATCTCTTTTATTTGGTGCTGGAATCTCTGTCCAAACACAAAACACCCTTTACTCTCCCTGGAACCTCGGTGTGGTTGGGGTGCTGAGCGGAGGCTGGTGGTAGGCTAGAGAGGGATCAGGAGGTTTGTCTGTACCCCGCCCCTCGACTCTGGTGGATTCTGTGATGCTCTGGCCAACAGACAGGACAGAAGCTGTCCTTCTAAGCCAAGGCCTTAAGAGAGCAGGAGCTTCCACTCCGTGTCTCCTTGGAGCCCTGGGCTGCCATGTAACAGTATCAATGATGCTGAGCTGCTGTGCAGAAGACCAAGCTAGCTTCATGGAGACGCTGGATGGACACAGAGAGAAGGCCAGACTAGCTTCGTGGAGACCCTACGTGGAGACAGAAGACCAAGCTAGCTTCATGGAGACGCTGCATGGAGACAGAGAGATGCCTGCCCAGCCCTTAGCTGTGACAGCCACCAAGCCCAGGCACCAGACATCTGAGCAGAGGAGTCTTCATGCCCCAGCCTTAGCCATCATCTGACTCCAATGCAGGAGAGACCCCCAGTCAGAACTGCCCAGCTAGGCTGATCCACTCACAGAATCGAGAGAGAGAGTAGATGTTGTTTTCCAAGCCATTCCGTTTTGGGGTGGTTTGTTAGCAGCAGAGGTCATTAGAACTCAAGGCCAGCTTTCATCCCAGGTGCCTCATAAGGGACGATACACCCCAAGAAGGAGTTGGCTCTTGAAGGGGTCTAGCCAAACTGGAAAAGACTGAAACTACTGTGAGAAAACCACAAACTGACAAGCAAGAGACAGGAGGGGGTCAGACTGCGATCCCATTAAACTGGGATCTGATTTTACAGGAATCTGATTTTACAGAGCTCTTCTTGGTTTTTAATTTCTTTAAGAAATGTTTTAATTAACAAAAGATGCACTTTTAAGAAATTCACACTGTCCTGTGGGAGTCATAATTATTCTTAGTAATTGTCCTTGACCTGATGTTTTTGCCACCGCTGACTATCTTCTGACAGTAAATCATGATTTGGACAAAGGGAGAAGCCAGGGAAGGGAGGCTGAGCAGAAGATGCCCGGGAGGGCGGAGAATGACTCAGCCCTCACTTCCCCTGGTGAGCGCTTCTCACGCACCAGGTTGCTCCTCGGTGCTCCATGTATATTCACGCGGTTAATCCTCCAAACAACCCAGTGTCGCGGTGACCAGGGCCTCGGTGTACAGGGGAGGAAATCTGAGGCCCAGAAGGTAAGAAAATTGCCCAAGATCACAGCTGGTCATCCTAACCTAGGGTTGGCCCCTTGCACTTGGAGTTAAGAACTGCTCGGGGACCTGCACCAGGTGTGCCAGAGTCCTGCTCCTCGTCGCTTACCTGGGCAGGAGCAGCTGGCTCCATGTCCGCAGGGTCTCGGGCTGCAGAGCGGCCTCCACCTGCTGCATTTGCCCCGGGTCCGGGAGGATGAGCAGGGCCAGCGCGTTGCCGCTGTACTCGATCTGCAGCACCGTGCAGGCCCGCTCCTGGTCGTACAGGAACCTGTGCATTTCCTTCTGGTGCATCATGGGGACGTGGAGGGAGGTCCTCTCGTTCACAAAGAAGCTCTCTTGCTTCTGGGTCTGGTAGCGCTGGAAAGGATGCTTCCACTTGGCTTGGGACACAAAACCCGTAGATCCGTGAGGACACAGTAACCATAGACACGCGAGAACACAAAACCCATAGAATTGTGAGGACACAAACCCGTAGATCCGTGAGGACCCAGAACCCATAGAACCATGAAAACACAAAACCCATAGAATTGTGAGGACACAAACCCGTAGATCTGTGAGGACACCCAACCAATGACCAAGTATCGCCGACCCTCTCCCCACAGCCGCTACTGCATCCAAGGCCACCCTCTTTCTCACTTTGTTCCACTTTAAGAACGTCCTAACTTGTCTCTCCAACCCTCACTTCCCCCAACCCATTTTCTACATTGTAGCCAGACTGATCTTCCTCAAAACAGATGTGGCCATGCCCTTCCCTCTTCCGGCTGTTTGGGAATCCTGGGTCCCAGAGACAGTCTAGGACTCTCAGCACAACTCCGGCTCATCTTCTCACTGCAGCGCTCGCACTGCCCCAGGCATCCCCCAATTCCTTCTGTCTCAGTCCAACCAATGTGCTTCATTCCTGAGAACACGTGGTATCTCTGTAGCTCGGGCTTCTACTTACGCTGCTGTCTCTTCTGAAACCCCTTCTCTCCGCCTCTCCTGCAGCTTCATTCTTCATGTCCGGCTTAGATTCCTTCTCTCCCAGGGAGCCTCCCGCCACTCCCCAAGGCTGGGCGAGGGTCTCTGCAGGAGCCCATGGCACCCACCCCTCCCCCTGCAGATGCCATTCCCACTGAGCTGTGACTGCCTTTTTCCTCCTCTACGCACGCACGTGCAACCCTGCGCTACAGGGTGGGGAACCGTCTCTTACCATAAATCTCCCAAGTCCTCTCACCCAGCCTTCCTCCTGGGAAAAACATCAAACAAATCCCCCCTGAGGGTATTCTGCGGAACACCTGGCTCCTCCACCCCATCAGCACAGCCATTAAAGGCAAGGAGAGGCTGAGAAGCTGTCCCCGCCAAGAGGAGCCTAAACTGACGTGACTGAGTGTCAGGTAGATCATGGATGGGACCTCGGAATAGGAAACAACATGAGGTAAAAACAAAAAAGCATGAAAAGTATAAAGATAGATGTACGAATTCAGGAAAGAACTGGAGTTAAAAGACAAACAAAAATTGTGACATGTTCAATGCAACAGTCAAAATTATCTATATAAATATAACATGGTAATGACACTAACACATAAGTGTGAAATAATATATACAGGACGAGAGCATTTGTGTAAAATCTTTACACACATTAGTGTGTAACTGATGATGTGCACACCCTTAATGAGCTCACGGCGCGCACACATGGGTGAGGGGGATGCACACCTGCCCGAGGACAGTCCTGGCCTCCGGGAGGGACGGAGGGAAGGAAAGGGGATGAGGAAAGCATTAAAAAGAAATGGAACTTTATCTGTCAGATTTTTTAAAAAGTCTGAATCAAATGGTAAAATGCTAATGTTTTCATTCTTGGTGGGGGGAGTGTATGGTGGTTTTATATTTTTCTTTGTATATTTCTGTATGTTTGAAATCAATAATAATATAAAAATAAAAGATTTGCCCAGCTGGTGTTGCTCAGTGGTTGAGCGTTGACCTATGAACTAGGAGGTCACAGTTTGATTCCCAGTCAGGGCATGTGCCGGGGTTGTGGGCTCCATCCCCAGTAGAGGACGTGCAGGAGGCAGCTGAGCGATGATTCTCATCATTGATGTTTCTCTCTCTCTCTCCCTCTTCATTCCTCTCTGAAATAAAAATATATGAATAAGTAAAAGACATTTTTCTAAAATTGAATTATTAATAGAAAAGTGAGACAGTGTATAACAAAAAGAATTAGAATAAAAATAGAATAGAAAAAACATGGCAAGAGAAACCAAATATTTGCAAATGTAGAAGTAGTGGTATAAGAACATTATTGAATACTATAGGGCCGGTACATGAAATTCATGCACTCAGGGCAGGGTCCCTCAGCCGGGCCTGCGCCCTCTCACAGTCTGGGAGCCCCTGCCGGGAGTGGGCCTAAGCCAGCAATGGGACATCCTTAGCGCTGCCCGTGGAGCCTCTCCTGCCACTGCCTCTGCGCTCGCAGCTGTGAGCCTGGCTTCTGGCAGCGCACTGATCACCTGGGGGCAGCTCCTGCATTGAGTGTCTGCCCCCTGGTGGTCAATGCATGTCATTACGACCAGTCATTCCACCTTTCGGTTGATTTGTGTATTAGCCTTTTATTATATAGGATGCAGGGGTCACTGCTGTAAGAAACATTCGTGACTTTAGGATGGTGCCTTTGAGGGAGAGGCTGGAGGTGGTGGGCGGGGCCAGTGGTGGAGGCGGGCCAGGGATAGAGGGTGGGGCCCAGCTGTAGGGCGGAGCTGGAGGTGGAGGACGTGATCAGTCTGCCAGGCTAGCACTCACCTTTGAAGAAGATGTAGTTCAGGAGAACCATGGGCGTGTCCTCGCTGAACTCCTGCAGGCAGTCCACCACCTGCCCGTACGTTTGCTTCCTCACGTAGTCATTCATCTGCCTCCGGGCTGTGGCAGAATCCGTGAGGTTAACAGAGAAAGCCAAGGCTCCATACAGCTCCCTGATGTCGTCCAGAAAGCGCT